TCCCAAATAGTTCCCCTGTTTGATCCCTCAGTGGATCAAAATAACCCACTTTTCGACGATCTTTTCCCTCTGTTGCTCACCGGAGAAAGTCTGATCACTAGTCAAAATGGTTTATGGATTTTGAACGGTTAGACTTAACGAGATAGCAATTATAACCCAAGTAATGATAGGGTCAATTCATGGATTTTTCTTTCTTTTCTTTTGCCTCATTTCACCCAAAGAAGTGAAGGGGCGTTGAAATGGAATAAGGACGAGAAGCATTAAGCTTGCGTCGAGCTATTTTTCTACAAAATCTTTATATTGCCAATTAAGGCAAGAAATGATGTAATCCAGCCGAATGATTTGAGTAATCACATTTTCACATGTCAAATTATTAATGAAAAAAAATAAACGTGACGTGGTAAATAAAAATAAATTCTACTGCCCCTTTCCCTATTATATAAAAAGGGGAATGTGAGGGTACTGTAGAAGCAACAGTGTCTTGATCCATTTTTATTATAATATTTTTGTTTTTTTTTTCAATTGGGGGCCAAAACAACACCGTTTGCTTGATATATATTTTGTTATATACTACCTCCAAATTTACTGCAACACACAATTTTCATTTCTTCCCCACTTCGATATAGATATATATAATAGGGATATAAGAAAAAATTCACATTTTTTATAAAAAAAAAAAGATATAGATAATATGCGACATAATTTTTTTTACAACATATTACTTGTAAGTAAAAAATTTGAAGAGAAAAGAATTAAAGAGAATTTTAAATTGAAAAAAAAAATTATAACGTAAAACTACACGACAAAATAAATAAATAATCTCTCCGTGCACAAAAGCTTTTGCTCCGTGCACGAAGACATTAGTCTCCATGCATGGAGACACTTTCTCCGTGCATGAAAAAAAAAATAAGAAGGACTCCGTGCATGGAGAGAGAAATATATATATATATATATTTATACTTATGTTTTTGTGTTTATTTTCAGGCTCATTGCAGAATATCAAACGAAATTGAAATATTACATTCTTAATATCTTTTTGAAGTACTCGCGGCATAGTATTGCACGTTGTTAACGATGCATGAAACGATCAATCATAACAAATATTATGGGACATCAAAGTAGGCATTTTCAAACTATATTTCGAAATTTTCAATAACAAACTAACTTTAAAAATTTATCGACGATTGTACGATAGTCGAATCAATGAATGTTTTACATCCTCTCGAAACTCATTTTGAGAACTATATTGTAGAGATATCGAATGATCTAAATAAATATCAAAAATAGTTAAACGAACATTAAACATGTGTTAAAAAATACGCATAAATCAATTTTCTTAAAAAATCAATTATTTTATTACTATTTCGAAATTTTTGATAACAAGCTAATTTTAAAAATTCATCGACAATTGTACGATAGTCGAATTAATAAATGTTTTATATTTTTTCAAAATTCATTTTGAGAACTATATCGTAGAGACATCAAATAATCTAAATAAATATAAAAAATAGTTAAACAGAGATTAAACGTATGTGGTATGACGAATTTTTTTCTCCATGCACGGAGTGAATATTTTTTTTTCCATCATTTTATATATTGTATTATTACTAGAAAATGAAATTTTATTTCAAACTATTAAAAAATACTGATTAATAATAAAAAATGTGAAGAAAAAAATTAAAAAGAATTCTAAATTGAAAAAATTATTATTTATAACGTAAAACTACACAGAAAAAAATTCTCAAATCTAATTTTTTATTTGGAATTATTAAGAGAAAAGAATTATAAATTGAAAAAAAAAATTATAATGTGAACAACAAAAATTAAAATTCTTTTTAATTCTTTTTTCTTTAAATTTTTTACTTAAAAGTAACTTTTTGTAAAATATTTTGTTATTTTTTTTATATAAAAGTAATTTTTTCTTATATTCCTACTATATATATCTATATAAGAGTGATTGAGTATGGAGTGGTGGGAGGTATGAAAATTACGTGTTGCAGCAATTTCTTACAGTATAATAAAATATTTTAAAGTAAATTTTTTTATATATTTTATAACTATAAAATTAAATATTATCTGAAATTATTAAAAAATAAAAATACTAATAATATAAGATAGAAAATATTTTTAAGAGGTAAAAAGTTACTTGTGAGTAAAAAAATTAAAGAGAAAGAAATTAAAAAAGAATTTTAAGTTGAAAAGAAAAATTATTTATAATGCAAATCAAAACTAAGTTTCTGTTTAGAATTATTAAGAGAAAAGAGTTTTAAATTGAAAAAATTTTATAATGTAAACAACACAAATATTTAAAAAAGAAAAAGTTAAACGGACATTAAACGTATGTGTTAAAAAATACGCATAAGTCATTTTTTCTTAAAAAAATCAATTATTTTATTACTATTTTGAAATTTTTGATAATAAGCTAATTTTAAAAATTTGTCGACGATTGTACGAATCATAAATATTTTACATTCTTTCGAAACTCATTTTGAGAACTATATCGTAGAGATATTGAATGATCTAAATAAATATAGAAAATAGTTAAACGGACATTAAATGTAAGTGTTAAAAAATGCGTATAAGACGTTTTTTCTTTAAAAAATCAATTTTTTATTACTTTTTATTATTTTTTTCGCAACATTTTTCTTAATACATCATTTTGCTCAAAAAAATTATCGGTATGACGTAATTTTTTTTTCAATTATTTAAAATTTCATTTTTTTTCCAAGTGAAGAACAAAAACGACGCATTCCTCCGTGCATAGAGTGCGTGGATATATCTAATAATTTCAGACAATATTTAATTTTATAGTAATATTTTTAGTAATATTGAATTTTTTTAAATTAAATTTATCTAATGCACGGAGACCTTGGTCTCCTTGCACGGATTCGTGCACAGAGATAGACATGAATATTTTTTTTTTAACTTATGTTTTTGTATTCATTTTCACGCTCATTAAGGGATATCAAACGAAATCGAAATATTACATTCTTAATATCGTTTTGAAGTACTCGAAGCATAGTATTGCACGTCGTTTACGGTGTGTGAAACGGTCAATCATAACAAATGTTATGGGACGTCAAAGTAGGCATTTTCAAATTATATTTCGAAATTTTCTATAACAAGTTAACTTTTAAAATTCATCGATAATTGTACGATAGTCAAATTGATAAATGTTTTACATTCTCTCAAAACTCATTTTGAGAACTATATCATAGAGATATCGAATGATCTAAATAGATATCAAAAATAGTTAAACGGACATTAAACGTATGTGTTAAAAAATACGCATAAGTCGTTTTTTCTTAAAAAAATCAATTATTTTATTACTATTTCAAAATTTTTGATAACAAGTTAACTTTTAAAATTCATCGATAATTGTACGATAGTCAAATTGATAAATGTTTTACATTCTCTCAAAACTCATTTTGAGAACTATATCGTAGAGATATCGAATAATCTAAATAAATATCGAAAATAGTTAAAAGGAAATTAAACGTATGTGTTAACAAATGCGTTTTTTCTCAAAAAAATCAATTATTTTTCTTTTAATTCTTTTTTCTTCCAAATAAAATTAATTTTTCAGTTTTAACGAAAAATTTATTTGTATGTTAAAAAAATTGAAGAGGAAAGAATTAAAAAAAATTATATATAGTGTGGTCTCCGTGCACGTAAGATTATTCAAAATTTTTTTTTATACTTTTTCGTTCTCCATTTTCATATGCTATGGCTACGCCTTTTCAAATCAACTCATTTGTTTATATTATTATATTATATATATAGTGTAGGTTTTTTTTATCAATTTATTTAAATTTCTTTTTAATTCTTTTCTCTTTCAAATAAAATTTATTTAAATTTTTTTTAAAATTCTTTTGCCCTACCAACCTTGGAGTGACTGTTGTATCGTCCGAAAAATAGGTCTGCTGTTAGGGTTTTAATTCTTACACCAACAAGGGCGTTGGTCATCCAGTAAGTGCTACTTCAAGTTATTTTAATTGCAATTATAAGTAAAAAAAAAATCACTTTTAGTAAAAAAAAAATTAAAAATAAACATATTAACAAAAAATATTTATAATATATGTAAAAATTACTTATATAAGTAAAAAAATTCTTTTAAAATTATTTAGAAGTAAAAAATAAAATAAAGTTATGAAAATTGAATGAAGAATATATAAATATTATTTAATTATTGAAAAATTTACTTTATAAATAATTGTTTTTTTTTATCATTTTTTTTTTAAATTTCTTTTTAATTCTTTTCTCTTTCAAATAAAATTTATTTAAATTTTTTTTAAAATTCTTTTGCCCTACCAACCTTGGAGTGACTGTTGTATCGTCCGAAAAATAGGTCTGCTGTTAGGGTTTTAATTCTTACACCAACAAGGGCGTTGGTCATCCAGTAAGTGCTACTTCAAGTTATTTTACTTGCAAACCTGAGTTTGTTATTTAAATATTTGTGTATGTGGATATTCTCTTTCAATTTACAACTGCATGAGTTATTTTTGAACTACAAGTATAGCCTCTCGAATCGAAATTCCTAAAGAAAAGTATTTTGCAAAATTCAATTTACAACTTATTTGTAATATCAGATAAAAAAATATATCTTCATCTACATTAAACAAAAAAATAAAATAAATAATTAAAAATAAATTATCGTTGACATATATACCATCACAACATTCATTATACTTATTTATAAGAATAAAAATAAATTATCGTGACATAAAATATACAATCGATCAAAAAATGAGAATCAAACAAATATTTTTTATTTCTAAATACTTTTTGTACAATCTATAAATTTTACTCTAATAAAACCAAAACAAATATCGTGCAACGCACGAAACGCTAGTTTATAAAAGCTTCATTGATTACAAGCAATAAAAATCATCTTAAACTTAACGTAAAATTTCAGGTAAATCAAACAAAATAAATGTTGGTTGACCAGTGGGCCCCAGTTCTTGTCTGACGTAGCTCCCTTGCAATATTAATAAATTTATAAACCTAGACAAAAAAGAAAAAAGCCCGCCGGCTCTCCGATCAAATCAGATCAAACGTCGAAAAGCCCAACGAATCTTCTCTCACACTGGTACTAAGTTCACAAATTGACTTCGTATTACAGCTACTTCCCGCGTACTGTTCCGATTCTTGGTGAGTTTATGTATGTCTATGTGGATTCTTGATTTTGTTAAATATATTGATTCTAATTATTTCTATATTTTTGGGTTTTTGGTGGGTTGCTGATGTGGTGAAGAGGGGTGGCGGAGGTGGATGGTATATGGCGGAGCTGCTGCGGAAATGGAAAGAGAACAAACTGTTCAAAGTGGTTTTTGCGGTGACTGGAATCATGTCCACTCTCGTTGTCTATGGGGTCTTACAGGTAAAATTCTCTCATTTATACCAGTCATTATTTTGGAAGCCAATTACGTTTTTCGAGTTTCAGTTGTAATCACTAGTAAACAGCACATTAAATAATTGTTAATGTGGGTATCAGATTTGTAAAATCTCTTTATCTAACAATTTTATAAAAACTCGAGTTTCCCTTACTGGAACTGATTATTTGCTTTGGGAAGAAACGAAAAGATATGTAGAGTGAAAGGGCGCGTAACGCACCTGTTTTATCGTTTAAAATTCCATAGTTTTGGTAAACTTTGTAGTAGCTATACTGATAAAGGCACTTTCATATTCACTGACCACAATTCCGAAATTTTCTTATTGCTCTATGTATCCAGTATCTATTCGCATTATAAATGAGAGATCTTATAAAACAAAGTATATTTGAATGCCTAAGCTTGTTTTAGCTAATCTTATGAATCTTTTCCAGTTTCTAATTGACTGAGAATGGTAACTGGTTGATACCCAAGCACGATCAGATATTGAAAGGAGGTCATGAAATTGATATCAGGGTGCGGTGGTGGTATTTTGGATGCTTTCTTGGAGAAAGTGGTGGTTTTGATGATCAATTTGGCGTGACAGTTGTGGCTGTGATCTTGATAGCTGCTTAGCAGCTGCCATAGATTAGAGTTGAGTTCATATGTGAAAACAGCAACGGTGTAAAATTTAATTTTTTTTAATGGAAAAAACTAATGCCACTTCGGAACAACCCAAATTGGTAAGGAAGTCGTTCAATTTGAAAAGAGGAATTGTGGATGTGCACGCATCCTTGTGCATGCTTGTAAAAGCCAAATAACAACCCAAAAATGTTTAGATTAAAGTCAATCCGAAAAATAGAGATCATGCAACAGTGCATGTACATGCTTCTAAAAGCATTGTCATGTATTTCATTGGGAGTGCTGTATGGTTTTTCAAAGAATTGAAATTGGTATTAGAAGCTAATTTACCTTTCCTTGAACATATTGAAGCCAAGTTGTGGAAAAATTGGTTTGGATGTTTGGGACACATTTAAATAACACAGATAGATGAATTAATAAGGAAACTGATGTAAATTAATATTAATGATAAATTTAGAGGGTGATAACAATCTAAAATAACTTATATGAAAATAAAAATGGTAAGTATCTTTGTGATTTATTTGTGGGAAGTCACTCTTGTTAGGGTAGATTGGAAGAAGAGATGAACCAGGGGACCAGGACAAGTATTAGATAAGATTTTGATGAGTTGAGTAGTTAAGTTGAGTTGTATATGCGAGGAGAAGGAGAAAGAAAATGTCTTGCAAGAAAGGGATAATATATCCAAATGTTGCATTTTCAGTGTTGTTACTTTGCTTATTTCTTAATGAGCAGATGGTAAAGAAGAACAGAGGATTATCTAGGTAACCATGCACTCTTTTTCTTGTGGGATAAGGAGTTTGATTATTTTTCTCCATCACGGTCTATATCTACATCCACGCTACTTGTGCCTCATCATTTGGATACTTTGTGAGAATGTCTTTCTGGCTGCTTTGTGCGAATGATCACAAAGGTTTGATCTCTGGTTTGCCTATCTGTCGATCTTCTAAGAGAGGTCATATTAATATGGCTTAGTTTAGTATGTTTTCTCCCTTTGATATAAGAAATATTCTATTACCATGGTTGTTAATTGTCATTCTTATTATGGTTCAGAAACCGAAATTATTTTGACATAAATTAAATGAAATTCATTACTTGCAGGAAAAGATTATGAGAGTTCCGTATGGACCGCGCAAAGAGTACTTTAAATACTCACTATTTCTTGTCTTCTGTAACCGCATTACAACTTCTGCTGTATCTGCAGGAGTTTTACTGGTAACTACACTTAGATGCTTGATTTATCAGTTTTCTTACTTTTATGAAGCTCTTACATTTTATTCAAGTGTCCTGGACCTGTAAAACCTCTACATATTAATATGATTCAGTCCTGCTGCCTTACTGCTAGGTGGGTATAATTCACCAAATGTATGAGTTAGATGTCAAGACATTTTTAGTATATTATTTGTATGTTCATTTCTTCTCGTCATTCTCCTCTCTAGGCGAGTGGGAAGGCCCTAGATGCTGTTGCTCCACTTTACAAGTATGGTATCATATCAGTGTCTAATATACTTACGACAACATGTCAGTATGAGGTAAGCTGTGCTTCCTTCTGCTGAAAGACAGATTGAAGATACACTGGTTTTCATTTTTTATGCATAAACATGTTCTTTTATTTAGTTAGAGTAATTGATATTTTGTATTTACTTTTGAGTTTTTAGATGGAGAGAAAAATCTGTAACATGAAATTTTCTGGCTATGCTTGCTCCAGGCACTGAAATATGTCAGTTTCCCTGTGCAGACACTGGCAAAGTGTGCCAAAATGATACCTGTAATGGTAAGATAGTATTACAGTTACTCATTGAGAAACCAGAAGTACAGAACTTTAGTTACCCTTCTGTTAATAATTGCCATTATTTTGTTACGAAGGCTTAATTTAAAATTTCTAATGTTCATGAGTCTTCTTTGTTTTACCCTAAGGTATGGTTTGGCCATTTGGCCAATATTGTACTTGCTTGAAGCATTTGCCAATTTTTATGGTCATTAATTTCCTGTCCCATTCATTGCCTATGAATGTAATATGTGTAAATTTTTCTTTTGATCTAGTTTTTTCGTCACTATTATAAATTTGCTGTGTTTCTAATCTTACTTCTTTGATCACCTTTCAAATGGAGAGTACGATGATGACCACCAAATGCTTAAGATTGAATATTGTGTTTAGCAGCATCCACAGACCATTCTTTAATTTCTTGTTGATTATTTTACTCTTAAGTCAATTGCTTGTTTTAAAGTTTAAATGTGTAAGCCAGGTATGGTACAAGTTAGATCCTGACCAATATGAAGCCATAGTAAATTAATCTTATCAAGCCAATACAAATCAATAGTGTGCCTCATAGAAGTTATCTTCTTGCTTATTTATTAAAAAAAAATTAAGTTTTCTTCTTGGTTTCTTTTTATACAGAGTTCATTTCGTGTGCATATGCAGTTCTACTAACATTTGCATGCAATGCATTTTTATTTTTGTACCTTTCCCTTCATTTTTCTTAATTTTCTTTCCCCCTCTTCCCATGCAGATCTGGGGCACTGTCATCATGCAAAAGAAATACAATGGGCGTGATTATCTACTTGCCTTTTTGGTGACTCTTGGATGTTCATTGTTCATTTTATACCCGGTTAGACTCTCATTCAATTTTTGGAATTGAAGTGACCATGTCAAACACTATTAGATTTGCATCAGTAAACAAAAATTTGGGTGCCACAGATTTCTTGGTGTCAATGAATTTTGTAGTATCTTAATATTTTTTGGATTTGTTTAATCATATAACTGTAAGAATACAGACATCAATAGGCATTTGTTGTCGGTTACCTTTATAGATAGCTTGTCAAGCAAAAAAAGTTTCATCCTCCAAGGTGCATTTCTATATACTTTGTGAAATAATAAGTTCCTACATGAAAACGAATCTTGCAAGACATTATTTCTTTATAAATTTTTCTTCATTCTTCTTTTCTTTTTTCCTCCATCTTCAATATATAAGGAATGTTGTTGTAACCAAGGACTTGAAGGGGGTGAAATGCATAAGATTAGAGCAGGTTGAATGAGATGGATTAGTGCTAAAAGCAAAAGATGCTTATAAGGTCAAAAGTCGGATTCTACAGATTCTGTAAAATGAGTATTTGACCGGTTATTTGATGATTGGGTCGTCAAAGGACAAGATAACGGCAAGATGAACATAGGGAAAATGAGGATGCTAAGATGCATGATTGTACTAGAATGAATAAGATAAGAAATGAGAATGTATGCCAACAAGTGGAGGTGACATTAATTGATGATTATTAAGGGAATTACGGCTCGGATAGTTGGGGCATGTCTTGCATGAAACCTTTAATTGATGATTATTAAGGGAATTACGGCTCGGATAGTTGGGGCATGTCTTGCATGAAACCTAAAGATGGAAGTTTGTGATCCTAGTTGACGGGCTACAAAGGGGGGGGTGGGGGGGGGGTAGTCCAAAATTTACATTGCTTGATGTAAGAATTTGATTGCATTGGATCTTTGAATATATGCAGACCCCAATTTTACTGAGAATAGGGCTTAGTTAATTATTGTTTCTTTGTTTTTGGAGCATTAAGTGATAATATATTTGTGGGTGATCACTATGTATTGATCTTGTTACAGTTAATTGATGGGATGATGTATGCGACTAATTATATTGCACTTGCTTATTTAGTAATTAATGATGAATGGTTTTACTCTTTGAACTGTAGGCTGCAGGTGATATTAGTCCTCATAGCAGAGGAAGGGAAAGTACAGTTTGGGGCGTTTCCTTGATGCTCGGTTATCTTGGGTATGGTATAATAATTCATCTACCCTCGTATAATCAAATGGTGAACCAAAGAATTTACTAGTGTTACCAGTTGGGACTGTTTCGATCATTTCCAATAGTATAGTGGTGGGGATGGGAGCATTTGAAATTAAATGAGCCTATGTCATTTTCCCGTTTCACTGTTGTCATTTTCTCTTTCTTTTCTTGGTTTCGTGGTATTTTGAATGCAAGGAAATGCTTGCATTTTCCAATTACACCCTTAAAATCGATTTCAAAATGGAGATCTAATGTGATCTGGCTAAATGCCACTATGTATAAATAATTAAGATATTACTTTAACCCTGGCTGTTTAACAAGGTTACGGGTAATTTATATCTGTTCCTAACTTTTACTTTGCTAACTTACTCTTGCAGGTTTGACGGCTTCACAAGTACATTCCAGGATAAACTTTTCAGAGGTTACGATATGGAGATACAGAATCAGATATTCTATACAACATTATGTTCATGTATACTCAGTTTCACTGGTAAGATTATGGTTTCAATCAGTATCACATTTCTTGTAGTTTTCAAACTTGTCTTGTAGCTGCAAATTTTTACAGATTTTTTATATTTATTAACTCCAACTGTTGGAAAAGAATGATCCTACATCTCCGCTAATATATTTTAATTGTTCTTGTCCAATCTGGATCGTTAACTCATAGTGCGCCTCTAATGTTTGTTTTATCCAATGTTGTTTTGATTCAATGGTTCGGCTTATTTTGTATAGGTCTAATCTTACAAGGCAATCTTCTAACAGCAATAGATTTTGTTTCGCGGCACAATGATTGTTTCGTTGACATTTCAATCCTCTCAACTGTAAGTTATGAAAGTACAGATTTTCTTCTTTTCTTTCATATATTGATTTGTTCAAGACTTCATGCAGCATTTCTTTTGCTTATGTTCATCTATTTACGTTTATATCTCTTCGTAGTACATAATGACTACTCCTGTACCATTATGAAGTCAATGTATTCCTCCTAATTGAAGAAAAAAAATTCACGCGTTACCCAATCATATATTACAGGTTGCAACAATTAGCCAGTTCTTTATTTCTTACACTATCCGAAATTTCGGCGCACTAACCTTCGCCACCATAATGACCACGAGACAGGTATATAAATAATTCCCAATCCTATTTGACGAGAATCACCTTTAAAAATGATGGTCTTATCGCATTTCTTCTATTTATACTCGCAAATGATTCGTGTTACTTTTCTACTTGTCAATACAGTTGGTGAGCATTCTTCTATCGTGTGTGTGGTTTGGCCACCCACTTAGTGTGCAACAATGTGTTGGATCGGTAAGTCTAAAACTAAAACCCTAATTAGGGGCATGGACAATGCGCAGTATTGATACTTTATTTCGACTGTCTAATCCACTTCACTGAACGTGCTATAAATGTTTTGACGATATCAGATTCTTGATTGTATTTGGTTGCTCAGGTTATCGTCTTTGGGTCCCTTTATGCAAAAAGCTTCTTAAGGAGTAAGCCAAGGCAATTACCCTCAGAACATGCTGAAAATAGAGCTTCGAGTCCATTGAGGGCAAATGCATAATACATTAAAAGTGCCAGTTGGGACTTATGTTGATTAATTCAACTGTTTGTTGAAAGATGGATCTTTTGAGACAATTCGACCAAAAAACATCTTGGATTTATGCTAACAGAGGTTCAAATGCTTTCAGAATTTCTCTGAAGTGACCTACTCCTGATAATAGAATGAATTAGCACACATAACAGAATTTTTGGCATGCTCTTTTTGTAGCTGAAATATTTATCAGTTCTCCAGATAGATATGTTGGTCTAGCAGAAACCCTTCTCTATTCTTGTTCACAAAAGGTGGATTATGTTGTACTGAGATCACAAGAGTCTCTCCCGTATTATTTAATTCTTGTTTTGAACTTATTGCAAATTTTCCCAAAAGATTGCAATGAAAAAGCTTATTTTTCTGCACCAACTTATTATCTCTTCTCTGCTGGGAAGCAATGTGCATTAAGGTTATCTGTGATGTACTAATTACATAAATAACTCTAAGAACAAGCTAATGTAATACTAATACTTAATAACCAAACATATTTGGACATATTTAGTGTTTTCTTATAAATAAAAATGTTAATTAATTTTGATAGTTAAATAGGAAATATATATAAAATAACTTCATATTTTAACTTCAATCAACAAAAAATATTGCTTATTCTAAACATTACTTGTTTACTTGTAGACAAACATAATTCAAGTTTGTTTTATTGATCCAATTTCACTTATAAAGTTACTTTTTAAGTGACAAAATTTATTTTTATTATAATGTAAATCTTATTTATAAGTCTATATATTTGAACTGTTATCTGAGTTATAAAATTCTCGCTGCTTATAACTAATCTATATATTTAATTAATTTTAATGTCTATCGGTGGCCTTAAAAATTCCCAACAAATACACCCAAAACACAATAAATCCATGCATCTAATCCATCTCATCAACTCCATGCTATGTATTCCGAGCATTGACTTACGCCCCAGACGGTTGCGACCGATCCGTCTCGATAGCGGCCGTACAATAGCACGGGTAACGCGTTTCAACAGGACGGAATAGCTTGCGCTAGGAGACGCAGGTAGATTCGGTAGGGGATGCAAGCAAACTCAGGCTGGGGACGCAGGCAGCCTGTTGGACAGAACGCAGGTTGCCTAAAGTTGGCAGTTTTCTAGCACGTTAATGAAGTTTTTCTAAGTCCCGAATCAGCCATTTTGGAAGGAAAAATACATGAACATGCAACCGGATATTTTGGGGATTAAGTGGGCAACTTGCACAACTTGTCCACTTGTGCCACTTGCAAGATATTGTCTAGATGCAAGCTAAGATCGAGTTGGTAAGGATAATATCAAGATGCAAGTTAAGCACGAGTTGGATCCACTTGCAAGAAAAATGGTAGAGAATGTCCACTTGATGACAACTAAACATGAGTTGTAAAGTGGAATATAACTTGTCAAAAGAGGTTTAAATCAACTTGCATCCAATGAGGGCCTTTGGATCAAATAAATTATGACCATTGATTTGAAAGCAACTTGCAAGGTTTTTGCTTATAAATAAAGATGGAAGTCTCATATGTAAATCATGTAGAGTGAAGTGAGTTTATTCATTAGAGAAATTGTAAAATTTTTCCTTTCATTTATACAAAAAAAAGTTTCCCCAACCTTACTTATTTTTCATATATTCCTTACTCCAAATTTTTTTTTTTCTAAAAGTGGTTATAATTTAGTCTCATTGGTTAAATTATTTGAAAGCGTGAAAATGATGGCTTAACGTTTTCTCGTGAGGGATGAGAATTGTCGAACATTAAGGCCGCACGATTCTAGTTATTCGAACTGTCCTCGACAATTGGCTCTATATATTTCGCTGCCAAACTGTCCTCTATCAACTAACTTCCAGAATGCACACTTTCCCAACTCCCAAGTATCAGATAGCATAAAGATTTCAGTATTCTTAAAAAAAAGGTTGAACCCCAACTTTAGGGGTTCCCATCGTCCTGCTCCTAGAGCTTTGTGAAGGAGATAAATCGTGGGATGTACTCCAGCAGGCCAGGAAACAAGAGCTGTCCATACACTATGCCTACAAAGAGTCCAATTCCATGTTTCAGGAATCGAACCCCCACACTGTAGCTGCCAGCAAGGCGTGAAATAACCTCACTCCTGTCCTTTGCACCATTAGGCTATGCCCTAAGGGGCAGATTTCTGCATTCTTGAATTCATGGCTACCCGTGTTTTGATTTCATTTCACCTCAAGGGCTTCTTCTCTTTACACATTCTGGCACACACGTTAACATGTGCAGCCTCGGCTTGAATCCTTGACGAAGAGGTGGCCGCCCCGTTGGTGCCACTGAGCCATCTGATCCTGTGGAAACACCAGTATCTGTAGCTTGTGCAGCTCCTGGTGGTGCAGCTGTGGGAACTAGTCCTGCACCAGGAACTGAGAATCCTGATCATACACTCTCCTTCTTTATTCATGACATACTTGGTGGGTCCCTCCCTTCAGCCATCGCCGTGACTTGTGTCGTAGCCAACCCGGCTGTCAGCGGCCAGGTCCCCTTCGCGAAGCCTAATGGCACCGTCCTCCCGGTTAACAATGGAATCCCAGCGAAAAATGCCAATGGTGGAATCATCAGCAACAACAACATTCCCTTCCTCACCGGCCTAAGCGGATTCACCGCCAACGTAATGGAAAACAACTACGGGAACAACATAATAGGCGGTGTCCCCGGGTTCCCTGTCCTAGGCAGCGCACAATTCCCTTCCGGGACAACCCTCCAGAAGCTCATGTTCAGGACAACGACAGTATTCGACGACAAATTAACAGAAGGGCACGACCTCGGATCAGGCCTGGTTGGAAAAGCGCAAGGCTTTTACGTAGCAAGTTCAGAAGATGGAAATAGCCAAACCATGGTTTTCACTGTAATGTTTACCAGTGAAAGCTATGTTGATAGTTTTAGCCTATTTGGCGTACACCGGCCGCAGTTGCCGAATCCCATCTTGCCATTATGGGTGGCACAGGGAAGTATGTTAATATTAAGGGATTTGCCACCGTGAAAACTTTCCTAGCCACAAAACAGCACGAGACTGATTGAGTTGAGACTCTGCTGCAGATCAATGTGTACCTTGCTTATTAGTTCATTAATGAAAATTTGATGTTTTATTTGTGTGCTTATGGATTCCGTATGAAAATTGTTATCAATTGATAGATTATGTATGATTGCCAAAAAATCATTGTATAAGCTCTGGTTTTCAGCTGCAATTGACTGTTCTTTAGTTTGATAAAAAGTGAGAATTTCATTGCTAAATTTACATAAAATAATTAAATTCTAAATAACATTGATGCGATTTTACTAAAAATCGATCGCATCATTCATATGAACGAAAGTTTTTTTAGGTCAATGTAAAATTACGTTCTAATAACTTAAGTTGTCGTTCTCATAATTTATTCTCAATTAGTATCACATCCATGTGGATATACATTCTCATTTCGTATCTTATCCACTTTGTATCCCACACATCTAATGAAAATAACTTACAACTCGTGTACTAAATTAGGTTAAGGATAATAGTTAGGTTATAATCTCATGACCTCCACCTTATTTCTCATACCATAAAAATCAAGAACTCATTATCCTTGGACATTTTATTTCTTAACAAATTTTCATATCACATACTGATACTATATTCATTTATTATAATTATCATCATTCCTTCTATAAAAACTATATATATTTTTTAATTAAAACAATTTCTCATTGGCGCACTTCCAAGTTAAAATTGGGCCCATAAATTTATATATAATCCCCTGATGGAGGCCCCAAATTCTGTTTTTTTGGTATTTCTTCTCTTTGTTCATCACCCGTCCGTGAGATTTGGTCAAAAGGAAAATAAAAGTTAATTCGGTTTAAAATATCGATAAAGAATGTGAAATTATATGGTTCATTTAATTGTACTTTTTATTTAATGTGTCATATAAACTGATGTTGTAATGCTAAATAATATTACACTATGAAAAATATATGCTTTTATTTTTATCCCAGTAGCCAAAGAATCAAGTCTTTCTGAACACCGTGTCATAACTTCGGTAATAAAGCTCAGATTCTGTTCTTTAGTTCTTGTGCAATAAAAGAATTGCATCTGATGACCCCAGATCTTGTAATCCCAAACTCAATCCCTGAACCCCGACCTTGACATTACCCAAAACTACGAAATCAAGGTCGGGCCTTTGAGGTCGGGGTTTGTATGTCAACTCGTCGGTCCTTCTTAACGACCTATGAGTGCACTAATTATACTTAAGCCACAATCCTTACCCTATTTGACTTCTTCTTCGACTCAAACAATGGTAGAATACTAGGAATGAAACACTAACTCCTTATCCTACGAGGATAAGGATCACACAAAGATAAGTCCTTCTAGGACTCTATCATTAACACTTATAAATACATAACTCGGGCTCATTCTTGAGGTACGTTTTTTATTATTTTCAGTTTACAGCTTCGCGCACTAAATTCCCTATCTGACTTAAGCATCGGAGAGGCGACGAGCACACACCTCGTTGCCTTTGTTGCAGGTATTCGAAGGCCGTTCGTGTTCATCAAAGTTCGGAGTTCGATCATCAAGTTTGAGATCTTTTAGATACTATTTTTCGGTAGCATCATTGGCACCGTCTGTGGAAAATCGCTACCTAAAGCCATGGTCAATACACGTTCAGGTCTTCCTCCAGCAAGCTCATCCGTCCCGGATAACCCTCCTCCCCCTGAGGAATGCTATATCCCTCAAGAAGAATCGTGGGAGATGCCAACACCTCCTCAAGCTGTTGTTTCTGCCGGAGCTATTGAGGAACTTCGTCAGCAGGTGGCTACATTAACCCAATTGTTAAACCAGAGAAATTCGCACCCGTCGCATACCCCAACCCTCGAAGGTGGTTTTATGGTAGATGCCCGAGCTCCAGTCCATCGTACAGCTCATGATGACGGCGGGGTTGGAACTTCAGGCGCACCGCAAGTGGCTTCAGGTTCAAGGTCCGTTATAATGAACTCGGCTGAACTTGCTAGAATTATTCGAGAAGGGATAACAGCAGGTATGCAACAAAATACTCAGGCAACAACAGGGTTCACCCCCAATACACCATTCACTCCATAAGTCCTCTTGCATCCCCTTCCCGACAGGTTCAAGTATCCTCGGATAAAGGAATACGATGGGACAACTGACCCTATCAATCATCTCAACGTGTACACGGATATCATGAACTTACAAGTTGCACTTGATACAGTAATGTGCAAGGCATTCCCTCAAACCCTCACAAACACAGCTAGAGATTGGTTTTCCACATTGGAACCGAACTCTATCACCTCCTTCTTAGATTTGGCTGATAAGTTCTCCACTTTCTTTGCGAGCAGCAAGTGAGTCAGAAAGACAGTCGCATAACTCA